CCACCCCGCTCCCTTTCTCCCACGGTGTGCGAGGCCGAGGAGCCGCTTCTGCTGCGGGGACCTGGGTGAAGAAGGCTTCTTGGGCTGGTGCTAGATAAAGCCCCATCGGGAAAGTAAGGCTGCTTCTCCTAACTTGGGTGCTGGCTCCACCTTTCCCGGAGCTGCTGCTTCCCAGCCTAGCATAGGTGGAAAGAGAAGAAGGCTTTTTGGCAGGAAAAAATGGGCCAGGAGAAGCTGGGGTCAGATGGAGCTGCTGGTTGCTTGGCTTTGTGCTGCGCCGGGTTGTTTTGCGGAGTTTGGGGCAGGCTGCGTGGAAAAGCGGCTCTGTTTTTATTCCCGGGTGTTTTTATTCTTGCGTGTTCGCCTCTGGAGTTATTTAAATCGTTCAAGAGCCGGGCTTTCTTTCTATGTGGGAGAAAGCAGGGGAAGGGCGTTTAACCTGTCTTGCTTTTCGCCATCGCTGTGTGTATCTCGAGAGAAAAAAATGCCAGCCGGGCGTTGTAACCTGCCAGGTTAAATTAATCTGAGCTTCGTCGTAATCGCCTTGATTTGAACGCACCAAAGCAAAGTGCTTTTATTTATCCCTGGTCATATAAATCGGCCTCCCTAGTCGGCTTGGGCGAGCAGTAATGGAAAAACAGGCTATTTTAAGTCTGGTTTTAGCCTTCGAGATGCCCTCGGGTAGGCATAAAAAAATGATGGATTTTAATACGAAGCCATCTTGCGTGGGCTTCGTCTTCGGCTCGGGGTTGGTTTTATGTTTTAAACATGTGAGGGTTTGTAAAATGAAAATACTGTGCTGGTATGGACACTTGATGGGAAAATAAAACCGAAAGGGAAAGGAGGGGGAAGGCAGACACTCCGCCCGGTCCCATTCGGGGGGGCTTTGCCCAAATTTCGCCGGGCTCTGCGGTGGGGAGCCCTCATGCTGATGCGCCCCGGTTTCGGTACGAAGCGATATTAATATCGGCGTTTACTGAAGAGTCGGAAAAGGGAAATACGCGGGACGGCCAGGGGGGTTTCCCCCCGGCATAGGCAAGAGCAGCCATATTAGGCTTAGAGGGAGAGCTATTTTTATGGGTATCTTTGCGTGACATATGAGAGAACAGACAAGAACCCGTCCTTCTGGAGCCGGCTGAGCTGTAGGTGGGCACAGGACCGCATCCTCCGCTGCAGCGCGTATTTTAAGCTCGTGTCAGACAAATAGCTCCCTATAAAGGTTACACGAGTGCAGGTACGCTCATTATAATGCAGTTCCGAGGGTCCATCAAAATATGAAGTTGGGGCTTTGAAGTCGTTGATTTGACAACCCCGGTATAGTGATACTTCCTGTGCCCGCCCCCTGAAACAATCCTTGATGAAGAAATCTCTTTACTTCAGTGGGTTTCACGATATGTGAATAAGGATCTCCTATAAAGTTAGCAGTGTGGTACAGTAAAATCCGATGTGTTTCTTGGCGAGTTGGGCAAAATAAAATTAAAAAAAAAATCGAAATACCTTTATAAATCACTGTTAAAATTCAATGTGCATTAGAGAGAACCTTATATCCTATAAAATTCTATTTAGCTGAGAATCCCAGTCGATTACCTTGACTCGAATTTCTGCGGCAGTGTGGATCTTGGCATCACAGGAACAGTCTAACTACGAGGAGCTTGTCTCGGCTTTGAGGCATTTCACTTTCTGTAGCTTTGCGCTCTTAACCTAGAGGGCACATTATATATCTCATAACTCTGGTGTGTTGTTTGCATCCTGAATTTGTAGGCAGAAAAATGCTCATTTGTTCAGAGGCAACGCAGTGGGATTTTTTTCCTCTCACTGAATATATTTCCTGGATTAACAAATCTAAGGTCAAGTTCAAGGCATCAGTTGTAGCAATACTTTTAAATGTAAGGCGACATGGGAATGTTTTGGCGGCTTTTTTTTTTAATGTGTAGGGTAAGGCGGCATTCCGGGCTGCGGGTGGACTTTGCATGGGAACATTGTCTGGGATGTGGCCGTCCGGAGGGATCACCGCGTCTTTTGAAACAGCACCGCGCTGTCAAGGGATTGCTGGGGATGTTCCCTAAACCGCTCTGATTAATTCCACATAAAATAAATCGGCAGGAAAAAGGACTGGAACCTCCTCACTACGAAAGGCGCTAATGACCCGGTTCTTTGCGTGGTTGGGTGAGAGTCGGTGGAAAGTGCCTGGTTTTCTGGATCGGGGGATTATAATCAGGGAAATTTGATTTTGCGCTCCTTTTAAAGCTCATCGCTTGGTCTAAAAACCCCTCTCCCGCACTCTATTTTGGGAAGAAGTCTCTTGCACCTGCGTCTGGGTAGACGAGGGGAAAAGGAATGACTGGATGTGCGTTTTCATGTGTCGGGCAAGTCTCGCAGAGCGTTCAAGGGTAGAAAAGGAGACATTTATAGTAGCATCACCAGTCAATCAATTTCTGATATACTTGGCCGTTTGAGAAAATATCTCCTCGTGTCCCCTTTATTGCCAAATCTGCCTCTATTCTCTTTCAGAGGTATAAGCAAGGTATAAGCAGAGAATATGAACACAATGTAGAGGGGTTCAGACTGGGGCATGCAGGGCTGGAGAAGCGGGGAGCGAGGAGAGTCGGCGTTATGAGAAACTCCCCGCGCTTTTGAAGGCGCCGGGAGTCGGTCACAACAGCAAATCATTCGGCTGCGAAAGAGCAAGAAAATCGTTGTCGAAAAAGAGAAGTTATCTGTCTGGAAAAAGCTTCCTCTTTGGAAAAAAAAAATAAATAAAAGGAGGCAAAAAATACGGCTCTGGGAGTCAGAGTCTGCCTTCAGATAGAGCCCACCGGTTGGGCTCAGCGCAAAAAGGATGCAAAATATCATGGTTGGTCGCCAACGACGGGTAGACCTCTTCAGGTCCCTAGCCGTTTAATCCTACTGGTCAAACTGAACTGGAGGGTTGGGAGGAGGAAATAAAGCCAACCCCCCCCCTGAAGCTTTTTCATCCCGGCGACTTAAAGAGACAAGAGAGGGTGAGAGAGAAAATGAAAGGATTTCCGTAATTAATACTAAAAATCAATCTAAAATACTCCACGCCCAGATGAGCGTAGCCTATTCAGATGTTCAAGCCTCTGAAATAATGTAATGCGATTAAATACAGCGTAAAAGAGTCAGAATAACCTTGACTTTAGTCCTGTTTACGTCTACCCTTTCTTTTTACACGTATTCTGCAGTTTCCTAGTAAAATCACGACCGTACCGCTTCAAGTTTTGGACGATAAATAGTCTGTCCCATAACACAGCACGGGGTTTCCATCTCGCCGATAACGAGAATCACCTATTATTTACATTATTTGAAAAATCTTAGATAAATATTGCAACGCTTCCTTCTGTTGCAGTGTTAGGGAACATATTTAGTTAAAAAAAAAAAAAAAAAAAAAAAAAAAAACGCCTATTAAAACCCCCTTCCCACAACAAACAAAAAGGCAAAAAAAATGGAAAATATTTAATTAAAAAAAAAAAAAAAAAGAAAGAAAAAAGACGGCTATGTATAGCTCCTTTCCACAACGAACAAAAAGGCAAACAGAAATGAAGAAACGCCAGTTAAGAACTTATGAGCCCGAAATATTTAAAATCCAAACAATAAGCACGCTTTTCTGAAGCTGCATTCCTGGGAAATTTTGCGAAGAATTATCGCCTTCTGGCCTTATTTTCCTTGGAAAAGGTGGGAAGGGGTTGCGCTTTTCGTTGGCAACAACGTTGCGAATTCCCTAATATTACGTTTTTCTAATAAGCCTTTGTAGACTGTAATCAACCCGCGACTTTACAAAACAGTGTCCTAATTCCTGAGATATTTTCTCCTGCTCGAGCCGTAACACCCCTCACCCTTCCAATGCGAGAGGAGCAGCAGCGATTGAAGCCAGAAATGGTGTAATATTTTAATTAGCTCCCTTTGACGCAAATTCCTTTTAGCACACGTTTCTCCTGTTAATTGCAGGCACCCATACTACTGGCAAGGTAAATGGTCGGCTTCCATTTTTTTTTTTTTCTTCCCCAGCAAAATAGGGTACAAAAAGACAACAATTTAGATACTATAGAACTTGACCTTTTGGAGACGAGCGGTAGTAAGTTAAACAGTTCCCTTTGCACGCCATCTGTATATATAAAAGCTGGGCTATCGAGGCGTCCTAGCTCTGTTTATATTCCTCCAAAGAAGAGATGTAGGGGTTTTTTTTCCCCTCGCTTTGTTTAGCTTAGCTATGGGTAAATGTGCTCACAGTCTCCCCACCTCTTGGCCACGCTTGTCCTTTGCAAAAAAAAAAAAAAAAAAAAAAAACCAACCAAAAAACAAACCGTCGAGCAGCAGAGCTCCCAATTTCAGAGCGGTTTTACCCTCTCTAATCCGGCCGAAATACACGGGAAGGCGTAACGAATGCATTTTTGCTTCTCCAAACGAAATGCCTGCCTTTGTTTATGTTGTTTTCGGTGAGATTAGCGAGGGGAAAGGCTCGATTTTCCCCCTTCCTCAACGCGGAAGTCCCAATTACTGTATTAAAAGAGCAATTCAACATTAGACCAAATAATCAACATTGATAATTGTGCTGAACACAGCAACTTAACAGCAGGCTCCCTGCAATTACCCACACATTCCGGGGCTTTAAGCGTACATTATCTCTGTTTCACTTAACAGCAAATAAAGCAGAGAACAGCCTGTGCCTTGGGTGCTTCCAGACGAGCTGCACCCCTCGCAGCCTTCCCCATCACCCTCCCCTCTCCTCCTCCTTGCAGGCGGAACCGGGAGGCATTTTGGGGTCCCCCATGCGTTGCAAAGCCTCTTGAAGAAATAGGCAGCTTGGTTTGGGGAGAGGGGAAAGAGGGAGGTGGGAGGGGGAGTGGGGATGGGGGGGGAAAGACAGTTCGAGCGATTCAAAAAAGTAGGCATCGGGGCTGCACGTGTGCATGCTGTGCAAGCACACATATGCCCAGACACACGCACACCCACGCACAGGCACACACACACACGCCTATTTCGCCGTTGCCTTCTCGCCCTTCTTCTTGCCTTAATTTCCCTTTGTTTCCCCGAGGCAGCCCCCCCGACCTCTGGCACGGCGGAGCCTCGCCCGGCGCCACGGCCCCGGCTGCCGAGGGGAGCGGGAAGGAGCCCCCCATCCAAACCTGTGCCAGCTCTGCTCCCCATTTCTAGCCCCAAGGTTTGAAATTTATTGAAAGGCAAGAAGGAGGAGGAAGGGGGGGGAGTGAAAGGGGGGGCTGCAGTGAGTCCGAGGAGGCGGTGTCCCGCGATTTTAGGCGTTTGGGCAGCTCTGTCGTGTCTGCTCTGCCACAAGCTGAAGTTGACTGCCAAAGTGCTATAAAACCGCAGGTCAGTCTAGAACTGTTTTCGGTTCTCCTAGACGCGCCGTGTTCAATTATAGCCTTAAAAGCCCTAATACAAGTGCAAGAATTTGTTTGCCATCACACACAGAGGGCGGGGCGAGGCTCTGCAATGGTGGCGCCTTTGTTATCTCAAAGTCACTGAAATCCTTATACATTCCTTTTTGTTTGAAGGGAGGGGTGTCTGCGTGTGTGCAAGGGTGTGGGGAGAGGTTTTGCATCGACGGAATTGAAGGGAGGGGGGGTCACAGGGAAAATAAACATTGGCTGGGCAGCAAAAGGGGGCTTCCGACCCCCCCCAACCCCATCCCACTTCCCCCACAACAGCTGGGGGGGGGGGGAGTAAATGCTATAGCACTTTATTACATTTAAAAGTATAGCATTAAGGAAAAAGCCAGCCAGAGCCCTTGCAGCCCCCATCCCAAAATTAAAAAAAAAAAAAAAAGAAAAGAGGGAAAACCCCCAAACCCTTCTACAACCTCTAAACGACACTGCAGTCTTCTGCTAGCGTTTTGACGACATGCAATCTCTTCCCATCCACTTTCTAGCAAACATGTCAAGCTGGAAGATTAATTAATTAATTTCAAGTTCAGCTCGCAGACATGCAGTAAGCATAAGAAGTTCTTACAGCAAACCAAAATAAAGAGTTCATTACAGGGATACGTCCAGAGCATTTGATTTGTGAACGGTAACCCTTGTAAAATAAGAAAAAGGCATATAAACATTAATGCTAATAAATTAGTTTACTCCACTACAAAGTAATTACTTGATAATATTGAATTTACAGCTTGAATTCAAACGCAACGGTTAACTATAATGTAGGAAAAATACATAATGAGAATATTTTCTCTGTGCACAACATGATTAGATTTGTTATTGAGTCAGTTACGATAAGCTAAGCAATAAATAAACAAATCGATGTTGACATTTAAATACCGAAGATCTCCAGAATTTACTAGAGAACTTTCTCCGGATATATAAATACTTCTACAGCACTGCAGAGGAAGAGGGGGGAAAATCCAAATATTCTTTCCCTAACATTTTCTTTTCCCTTCCATTAGCCTCCAAAGTCCACGGGGGCATGGATCTTGAACTACGTCTAATTTCCTAAGAGCACCGACTCCACAATAGCCTTTTGCCTTTCTGTTTTTCTATTTTGATGAAATCCAGCCGGAACCCAAATATTTCTTTTCTGAAATCGAGCATCAGAATAGCAAAAAAATATTTTTTCCGAGAGCCTAGGGATGTCCGTGCCTCAAAAGGTGCTGTATTCTTTGGCGTATTTCTCTGTTTTCTTTGGCTCTGCTCATTTCGTGGGGTGTGCATTTTTATTGGCAGAGAAGTACTTTTTAGTCTCTGCCCTGCACAATCCGCTTTCTATATCATCCCTTTCATGCAACAATAGTAAAAGTTTAACCACGTTTTTAAAATAGGTCTCCCCGGGTCTCAGCCTTCAGCGACGGTACGCAGCGAAAAGGAAAGCATCTCGGTACGGCAAGTTTGTTCCTAGGGGTTAACGGTATGTCAAATAATTTTAACTAGGCTTCTGGCAATTAAACTCGGAGTATTTGTCAAGCCGGGGTAGCCCAACATCCACTGGTTTTCCAAGTATTTAGCGGCAGCGTTGAGAGATCAGCAAACACTCTTTAGCTCCGTGGTCTGCGATTTAAAGGGGTTTCTGGCGTGGCGAGTGAGGGCGGTTTGGAGGGGGGCGAGGACAGAGAACCTGCGTCCTGGGAACCCGACATTGTTAACTACCTCCAGCAAAGCTTGGCTGAAGCCGCGCAGGGTATTTGAGGTTAATATGTAAGTAAGGGAAGGAAGACACTAAACGCTTCGGAAGTGAACATGAATGCAAGCATGTAATCTATTCACCATGAAAATCAGTACAGACTTGACCCTGGCACATTCTTCCTAGTAAGGTTTCCAGAAAAACCCTGCGGGGCGAGGGCTTTTTTTTTTTTTTTTCTTTTTTTTTTCCCCCCCTCCTTTTCTTTTTTCAGGGGAGGGGTGGGGGGGAGACCAAACCGAATAAAAAAAATAAAAAAATAAAAGAAAATAAAAGAAAATAAAAGAAAATAAAAGAAAATAAAAGAAAAAAAAGGATTAAAAAAATGGAAAAAAAATGAAGGAAAAAAAAAAAGATGAAGAAAAAAAAAAAAGGGAAAAAAAAACCCAAAGAAGAAAAGCACCGGCCGATTTCTTCAGGAGCGTTTCCTACTGGGAAGCGGCTTTCCAGAAGAAACCGTGCCTGCACCTCTCTGCTGTGCCCTCCTTGGCGGAGCCTGCCTGCCAGCCGCCGACCGCCCCAGCAAGCCCCCAGACAAACAGCAAGGTCTCACCTAGCCCCGGGGGGATGGCTAAGCCTCTCTGCTCCAGAGCCGGCGGGTGCCAGGGGCCGGGCCGGCTCTCTCTGGGGCAGTGGCAAAAGCGGCTTTGTGTCCTCTAAAGGGCTATCCCCCCCCCTTCGCACACACC